TTCTCTAATCAATTCCTGGACCAGTTCTCTTGTATTTCTTTAAAGATACATGTGTTTTCTACGATAGAAGAAGGAGCTATTATGAACTATCCACATAAGTGTTGATAGCCACTTCGTGGTCTCAGTTTGGAGACAGGATATGCAGAAAGGGGCTTGAAAGTGGGCTTGGCTAGAATGCTTCATAGGAGGGCCGGCCCCGTGGCTTAGTGGTTAAGTGCGCGCACTCTGCTGCTGGCGGCCCGGGTTCGGATCCCCGGCGCGCACCGACGCACCACTTCTCCGACCATGCTGAGGCGGCATCCCACATACAGCAACTAGAAGGATGTGCAGCTATGACATACAACTATCTACTGGGGCTTTGGGGGAAAAAATAAATAAATAAATTTAGAATAGTTCGTAGGAGACAAGCTAACAGAAAGCTAATATTGTGATTAATGTTTTCTCCCACAAAGTTCATTCACTGAATTTTCCCCTATCTAAGGTATTTTATCCCCTCATATTCCACATAATGATGATAGCTTTGTCAGGCACTTTGCCAAATGCTTTATGTCTGTCGTCTCGTTTCCTCCTCCCAGCAGCCCTCCAACGGGTCTTCTACTGGCCGGAAACCAGCTCCAGAGAGGCTAAGGAACTTTCCCAGGTTATGCAGTCAGAGCGCCTTCCACATTCTTTGGCAGATGTTCTCCAGCTACGTAGTTAAGCTCATGACTCCATTGTCTAATGCAAAGGCACTTCTCCATTATGGGTACCCCTTGGATTCTGTTAGATAAAACTAATTTGCCTGAATTGGCAAAAATTTTAATGAAAGTACAGTATTCCTGATCTTTCCACCTAATTATAAACTCAGCTTGGTAAATAAAATATTGTAGGTAGAGTTTATCATAGATCGAAAGTTAGGAATCCTAAGATTTTGTTGTTGTTTGTTTTTCAGTTCTATCCTTGAGTTATATTCTCAGATTTTTTTTGTTAGTATTCTTCTTTATAAATAATTTGTAAATTTAATGAAATGGAAGAATGAGGATAAGAAGAAAAGTGAATGGTGGAGATTTTAAACAAGAACAGGAGTTCTTGGAATTAACATGGATGTAGATTGTCGTAAAACCAGAAATCCAGTGAATTGGTAAATACAAAAATTTTCCTAAAGTTCCACCTATCACTCATCATTACTAACTTTTCCACAAGTTCCATTAATGATAATTGCTTTACAAGTCAAGAAACTTGATTCAGCTACTTTGTGGACCTTGAACCCAGTTCTTAGAGACAGTGGGGTGGAGCTAAATTAGAGAAAACAGTTCTTGGAGAGCAAGTAGTTAAAGTTGGCTGTGGAGTTTAGAGAAACTTGAATAAACCAAAGAAAGAACAGCACAGCTCATGATTAAACCATTTTCTTCAGATTACAAATTGAGACAGCAAACAGTATTGCTGTGTTGGTATTCTTTGATTTATTCTTGCTTCAGTACCCATTTTTATTCTGGAAGAAGCTGGGCTTGGATCTTAGATTAAAGCTACCGAAGGAAACAAACTAACACTAACCGCCAGTTTACCTCCTATAAGTAGGATTTCTCTTCTGGAGGGAATGGGTTGGGTGTGTTTGATTGCTTTTAGAAGATGAGTTATCCAAATACGTATGGCTCATCACTGAAAAATCAAGTAGGAAGAGAAATTTATTATTATGCTTTAATAATAAATTTTTAAGTTTTTCCTTTTTTGGTATCATTTGAGTCTGGCATATTCCCATGGGATTTTTCCTAGCACAAGACTTTTAGTGAGCATAAGAACTTGCCAGGATTGGTTTGAGTTTGTGCCAACAGTGGATGTGTGTATGTTAATTTCCACCAGATTTGTACCTTCCTATTCATATACCATTGGGCAAGCTTTGCATAGGATTCCGATATGAGAAATCCATTGTCCACTGACAATGAAGGGAAGTAGATTCTATTCCTGCTCTATTTCCGAGTGTATTTGAATGTGAAATATATCCTACAAAGACGGCACTTCAAAACAGGTGTGTACTTTGAAAGGCATTCTTGAGATGTGGACGTCTGAATTACTGGGTCACTGTATGTCTGAAGAGATTTGAATTCACAGCTTCATTGAGCAGGTGTCTCTAGTTGATAATGAAGCTCCTGAACAATTGGGAACTTGTGGGTCTTCAGAAAACGTTGATGGGAAGAATATGTAGAAGTTCCTCAAGGAAATCAAAGGTACAAATATTAGGTAGTTTGTGGTGCTATGTTCTTGCTTTTTTTTTTTTTTTGAAGATTTTATTTATTTATTTATTTCTTCCCACCCAAAGCCCTTTTTTCTTTTTGCTTGTCATAGCTGCACATTGTTCTAGTTGCTGCATGTGGGACACGGCCTCAGCATGGCCGGAGAAGTGGTGCGTCGGTGCGCGCCCGAGATCCGAACCCGGGCCACCAGCAGCGGAGCGCACACACTTAACCGCCAAGCCACGGGGCCGGCCCTATGTTCTTGCTTTTTAAACTGTCCTTTACATGTTATCCTATGCCCCCAAATGAAAATTGTGACTGTTCACTTTCCCCTTTTAGCTTTTAGCCCTGAAGCCTCCGAGGAAAGACACTGTGTCTGGTTCATCTCTGTCTCTCTCTCAGTCTCTTATGTCAGAAGGCACTCCGCAAATATTCACTGAATCTATGGCCAAGATTCATGTTATGGAATGAAATTATCCTTTATGGTTTTCTTATGCTATAATCACCTTTCAGACTGTTTTTGGAAGAGAACAAAATTTGTGACTTCTACTTCAGTCTCTTTTTTTTTTTTTTTTAAAGATTTTATTTATTCATTTTTTCCCCCCAAAGCCCCAGTAGATAGCTGTATGTCATAGGT